TATATATATATATATATAAAAAAAAATGTTTGTCCGTGTCTGGTAACCCAACCTTTTGTTTCATAATCTGCCATCAAAGTTTGAAAGTTTGGTTCTGCCTAACAAAGATAAAAGTGCCAAGGACGAGAACTCTGTTGTTTCGATGTGGTGTGTTTTCGTTGTAAGCCGTTGAAGTGCAATGAATGATGGGAGAAACGAAAGCCAGATGTAACTCAGGTACGCAGGCAGCGATGCTGCTCTGTGTTCTATTTTTATAAGCAACCACCATCACTCCGCAGCATCCTTCATCTATAAAGAGCTTTTGTTTCATTCCTGCCTATGATGGGTCGGTCGGTTTACCCGAATAATGTGTCCGTGCTTCAGAGGACGTGTGGTCGATCTGAATGTACCTCCTGCTCCACGTTAACACTCGTCACTAACAACCTGAGCACAGATCGTGCCTCCAACCGTTTTTTGTTTGCTCCCTTCCGCTTGTTAGAAGAAGTAAACGATTATCCATAATTATGAGAATGACTTCAGTGAATAAAATGCCAAGTCCAAATAACACTCATTGTAGATTCATTTATTCTGCGTGGTTATGTTTGTCCAGGAAATGGTTTATATTTAAAGTTTAATTACAGAATCAAATGTAGTTTACATGTGAGAGAATATGAAGAGAAATAATAGACACCAAGCACAGACATTTAAACATTACTATACACCCAGTGTAGAGGATGACATTAATTGAATAATGCATACAAAATTATATTTAAATATTATTTGAACACCTTTATTTTTTTATAATAAATTCCACAGCTGTTTTCAGGTTAATGTGCACATTTAGAGATTAAAAAGAAAAAGAGACAAAGTGTGTGTTTCAAAGATGATAAATGAGCATGTCATATGGAGTATTCAAACGGCACTGTTACTGATATGTACAGTGATAATATGTCATGTTGTGACGGTAGAGAGACGGTAAAATCATTAAGACAGTAACAGAGCCGCTACAGTTCTGAATATTATATAGGGAACATAAATCTGAAGCTCTGTTTCAGAAAAACTGTCAAAAGAACATTAATTAGAGCACGGCTGAACATGTGTTTGAGTTTTGCTTTTTGAAGAAATGCGATAGGAAATTGATGAATGTATTTATTTAAATTATGTTTTTAGTGGAAAACATGGAATAAAAAACAAACAAAGGCAGGGAGACGCAAGGAATCTGTTGCATGTTCCTGCAGGAGTATAAGGACTCGTTTCAGCTTTAAAAGGTTGTAAGACATTTTGGGTTTCCTAAAAAAAAGAAAGAACAGGCCCAACGAGAGAAAATGTCTGTTTGTTTGTTCTCCGTTCTTCCAGCAGAGGGCAGTAGAGTGCTGCGGCTATAAGTGGTATGCCGTCAATGACGGTAACGTAAAAGAACGTAAACAGGAAGTTACAGCAAGGCGAGCAGGCTGTGTGTTGTTGACGTGAAAGTCCATCGGTTTTAACCTTAATAATCTCTCAGATCTACACAAAACAGTCAAAATGGGGAAACGACAGCACCAGAAAGATAAAATGTAAGTATCAACGTTATCATGGACGATACAGCGCACCACGTACGTGTTGTTGTTAGCTTAGCGAGCTAACAGTGTTTGCTAACGAGCTAGCTAGCTAGCTAACTTACAGTAGCTTATTTCTGGCATTAGTTTAGGTTTAACTTTATTTAAGGTCACTCTTTTGTCTTTCCTCTTATTTATGTGTGTTTTTTCCCGCCTAACAGGTACATCACATGTTCAGAGTACACAAACTATTATGGAGGGAAGCGATCAGGTGAGTTGTATTTTAAATATCTCTAATTTCAATTTAACCTGGTTAAAACAAGAGGCAACAGTCATAACGTTAGTTATGAAGATATCGTACACTTGTTGTCTTCTTTATATTGTATACTTGTACCTAGTGCTGAAAGAAGTACTCAAACCTTTTACTTAAGTAGAAGTTTGTTATACTACAATACTTACAAGTAAAAGTCCTGCATTCAAAATCTTACTTAAGTAAAAGCACAAAAGTATTAGCAGCAAAATATACTTAAAGTAAAAGTAGTTATTATCCAGAATGGTTCTTTTCAGAATTAAGTATATCACTCGATTATAACTATTGATGCATTCATGTGTTCATCACTTTAATGTTGCAGCTGGTAAACCTGGGGCCATTTTTTTTGTTATTCATAGATTAAACTATAATAATAAAGCATAATTTACTGGTTTATTTGTATGCTGTAGGGCTGCAGCTAAAGATTATTTTCAATATCGGTTAATCTGCTGGTATTTTCCTCTATTCATTAATAATTGGTGAGTCTATGAAACGTTTAAAAATGACCATCACAACTTCACAGAGCCAAACGTAAAACAATATTTAGTTTACAAAGATATGTGACGGAGAAAAGCAGGAAATCATCTCGTATTTAAAAATATCCAGAGCTTCTCAAGAAAAAAAAGAAGCAAAGATTTAATGTGAGACTGTGCGACCACTTGTGGGTTCCCAAACTCCTTGTTGGGAACCACTGTAGCTACCACGCTCTATACTACTACGCTCTATACTACTACACTGAGTTTAATAGAAGCTAGTAAAACTATTTTAATACCCAACATTTCCCCCGCTGTTGTCTGGAATGTATGGAATTGAATGCTTTGTTTTTTTGTTTTGATTTATGTTTTGCTTTTCAGAAATCCCACAGGCAGACTTCAGACGGCTTCCATTTGACCACTGCAGGTAAGAAGAGTCTTGTTAACCATCAGCAGAGATACAAGTCTGCTATTACACCAATAACTAAAATCTGGCCATGCTGTTCCACCAGTAGTGGAGGAGACTTTACAGCAATATATTGAATAGATGGCGAAATGTATGCAATACAATCTATGAAAACCTGTCTGGATGTGTCGTTTTGCTGAGCAGTTGTTTGACTTCAGTGTTTTCTCTGAAACATTTCAGCTTGTCCCTGCAGCCGTTTGAGTATCCTGTCTGTACTGATGAGGGAGTCGTCTTTGACCTGCTGTAAGTAGATGATTCAAATAATATAAATGATAATAGGCATGTCCAACTGTGTGCCGGTTCTACAGGGTTGTTATGTTTGTTGCTTGATATGTCCGTCAGTAACTGTTGATACATGGAGCTCTTAGTAATCCCTCTTTACGCTATGTGTCTTTCACTGTTGGTGTCACACTGAGGGCAATATTAAAGTGAATTGTTAAAGGCCAATGAGATGAGGATGAAGGATGTTTCTTGTTGAGAACACATCGAAGCTGAAATGTGTTGTGATTGCTTCTATTTCGACCTTTAAATAAAGATCACCTCCTTTGTACCGTGTGTTTCAGGAGCATCATGCCGTGGATCAAGAGGTATGGCACTAACCCCATCTCTGGAGAGGTGAGCAAACAACACGCGCCATGAGGCCAAACGGGGCCGCTTCTTACTGGTTTAAATATTAATGTCCAAACAGTGTTGACGATAAATGTAGTTGACAGAAGCAACAAGCTTCTCAGTGCATGCTGTATTGACCTAGAGATCTGCTTGTGGAGCCGCGCCAGAAGTGCCTACATGTACCAGGATGCATTGCACGCAAGCTTCTGTTGCCCGGATGGTCACCACTGGTCATATCGTCTTGAACGGCTAATTCAGCTGCGTTTCTTCGGCCGTGTACTCTATTAAAGAAGGCTGAATATCTGAGTCGGTTAAAACACTATAAAATACGTCCTGTAATCATATTTTGAGATGGCATTTTTGCTGTTGAAAACGTAGCAGAACAAGGAAGTGCTGTTAAAAAAAATTGAATTTATAACTGGTTTAGAAAGGTCTGTTTTTTGAGCGACGCACATACCCCTGACTAGAAATCTAAGCTGAAACAGCCTGTAGTTCTTCCTGCATCCAACAGATTTTGCAGCTGCTGACTGAGCTTTCTGGCTCAATATAGGACGCACAAAGGAATTTATTGCTTCCGTCGACTACTTTCACTATCAACACTGATTGAACATCCACATAAAGGGTGGTTCCCTTTAATTGTTTACTTTAGAGGCCACACACTTTACTATTTACCACAACTGTGAGTTGTTATGTATCATTATTGAATAGCTGAATATAAAATATTGTTGTTTTTTTTTCATTCAGTTTCTGTGAATTATTTTTTGATGACATTATTTTTATGATTGGACACTAAACTTTTCTTCTTTCTCACAGAAACTGGAAGCAAAGTCCCTCATCAAACTTAACTTCGCCAAGAACAGCGATGGTAAATACAGATGCAAGTGTTCAATTCACTCTTAACCTTAAAGGACTCGCGTAGGAACTAGTGAGTTATTACGGCTTACGTTCCCTGATTCTAATCATCAGAATCAGACTGGAAGTAGTTTAAAATAAAAAGGTCAAGGCTGCTTTTTTCTTACTGCCCTGCTGTGTGTGAGACTTAAAGAGTGTTAAAGGGTCATGTTTTGGGGGGATAAGAGTAAATGAAAGCGAGTGGAGGAGGATGATGTGGGAGAGGTGATATAACTTAACATGAAGTGTTTCTTGACTTCTGCATGAGAAGTTTTCAGTCCGTTTGTCGGCCGCTCCGCTCGCTCCTCACTCCCTTTTCATTTTCTTCCAGGAAAGTATCACTGCCCCGTCCTGTACAACATCTTCACAAATAACTCTCACTTCGTGGCCATCAAGGTCACCGGCAACGTGTTCTCTAATGAGGTTGGTGAGCTCGCACACTCTCCCACACACACGCACACTGAAACACAGATGTTATTGATTTGATTTCATTGTGATACCGTGCAGATGCTCAGCCCACATAGTCTCACAAGATGCTGCCTTAAATCACACCGAATTAGTTTAGTGCAAAACAGTGTTTCTCCAAACAAACTGAGGATGACAATCATGCGATCGTGTGTCTGTGCGTGAGCGAGTGTGCACCCTTATTTCTGTCCTCGGCTAATCTCGTATTCTGTTGCAGCAAACTGCATATTATTTTGTGTGTCCAATTATGGCTTCGTGCTCAAGAACCTCTCGTGGTTGCAGCGGTTCACACTTTATCAAAAACACCTTTTCATTGGCTGCCGACTTCTCGCTCACTACTGTTAATCGGCCCTCCCAGCTGTGTTATCTCCTGGGCCCCAGGAGATAACACAGCTGAGTGCATCTTCAACCCACAGCTGCTACTCAGCACCCAGAGACACAGTGGGGGGGGGGGGGGGGAGTTTGCTCACCTTTGTTGTTTTGGACGTGTGTTTGGCTAACGGCTAATAGAACTACAGTACACACACAAGACAGCTTTGTAATTTTTATTTTATTCTTTAGCAAGATTGTATGAAGTGTCCTCTCGATGACTTCAAGCTGATTGCCGGGATTCATGAAGTGTGTTTTGCGATGCTGTGAACCCCGTTAGTGTCTAGACGGGGAGTCGGCAAAGTGGTGGTAGTATTCATTCAATCACACGATACACAATTCTTAAATGTTTCCGTTTCCACTCAGGCTGTTGAGCAACTCAACATCAAGACCAAAAGTTTTAAAGACCTGCTGACCGACGAACCCTTCACCAGGAAGGACATTATCGTGCTTCAGGTGGGTTGTTGTTTTGCTTTGCAAAAGTTGAAAGCACATTATTTAAGGAAAATTAACTTTTTAATTGTTTTTTGGGGGGTTGTTTTGTCTTTGCAGGACCCCACAAACCTGGATAAATTCAATGTTGCCAACTTCTTCCACGTGATAAACAACCTGAAGGTGTTGGATCCAGGTGGGTTATGTGTTATTAACTATTTGTAATGAAGGAATTCTGCATTTCTGTTAAACGTCTTCATGGAATATGAAAGTTTCTTGATTAAACCGTTTTCCTTCCTCTTGCTCTGGTTTCCCCGGCGCGGTTCAGATGAGGAAAAGGCCAAGCTGCACCCGGCGTACCACCTGAAGACCACCAACATGGAGACCATGGAGACCTTAGCTGAGCTGTACAAGGACTACAAGGGGGACCAGCTCCTGGCTTCCACTATGAAGGAGAAGGCCGCCAAGAAGACGGACAAACTGAACGCTGTGAGTAAAAACACCACGATGCTGAAGTTATGTAAAACTGCATCACGTCCTGCAAGAGAAGGAGAGAAGAATATGAAATGTCTTATTAATCCCAGCTCGTGTTTTATTCCCTCACATTAGAAACTAGTCTTTCACATCTAAACATCCCTCCTGGTAATGGAAGTTGTTTAAGCAAATAAAAAATTAGATGGATTTCCCCGGAGCGTTCAGTGCTTCGTTCCTCATGGAGATGTTAAAGTGCTATTTCAGCAGCAGTTGTGATTTAAACCTTTGCTTTTTTTTAGGGACTTCTTCTCCGTTTAACAGTTTAGATTCGTTTAATTGAAAGATGCTCAATTTACAGTCTGATTACAATGTGTGGGACGCATAAACATTTCCATCTGTGCATTAAAAAATAGATTCAAAGAAGAGAAGTACACAAAAGTGGATCGATACAAGAAAATGTACTTGTAGAAAACAGGTAAAAACTTCATAACAATACACCGACTTAAATATACATACAAGTAAAATAGTGATATTAACATATTATTGATGAAAAGCTTCACCTTTAATAAGGAAAATATATACATAGAAGACGAGGCAAGTCTATTTCTATAGCACATTTCAGCAACACGGCGATTTCAAAGTGTTTTACATTAAAAGACAAAGTGCAAAAGAAACACAAACAAGCTAAAATACAAGAATACAAGTTACAAGAAATGAATAATTATTTGATTAAAATAAGGCAGCAGCAAACCGAGAAGTCAGCTTTAATCTGAGGTTTGAGTTGCCGATATATGGAGCATAGAAACTGGTTTAGTTTGGACTCTGGGGGCAGAAAGCAGACCTGAACCGGACCCCCTGAGAGATCTGGATGCTCATAATGTAGCAGACGATCAGAAAAACAACAACAATCAGTGCTTTATGAACTAGAGATGCTCTGGTATCGGTCCGATAATGACTCAAACAGCTGGATTACGTATCAGTAAATTATAATTATGTATTTATTTGTTATATTTTGTTTTGCAAAGTTAGGAAAGCTTGTTTGTGTCGAGCCTGATGTTGACTTACACATAAAAGAATCACTTCCACTCACTGAGACGTACAGTTTATTATTCAAACACTGGTACCCAAAGCTCAGGTATTAGTTCTGGGAGCATTGAATGCCAAAGATCACTCCTGACCGGCTCAGAAACAGTCATTTGACATAAATGGTCCACTTACCGACTTCTTCCCGGAGCTTTCAGTCGTACCACACGGTGTCCGGGCTTCTTCTTCTTAGCTGGAAACGGACTCAAAGTTCTACAAAGTCCAGACGAGCTTAAAAGCACTGGTGCTGTGCGTTACAATATCCATACTACCATAATATTTAGTATGTTTCAATACATAGTATTTAAAATGCAGTATGACATAAATACCAGGATGTTGTACTACATCTTGCAGCGTGCTTTTTATGCTAAATTGACTCTTAATCCTTTTGACTTTTTTATTTTTTAAAGGAATGATTAAATTCTTCAGTTGTGCTGCTGCAGCATTTCAAGAGGGCGTTAATTTGGTGAAGACGTGTCATCTTCACTTTGTCCACAGGAGGGAGCCAAACACACAGTAATACACGTAAAACAGCGACAGTATGACAAACGACTGCATCCAGAAATAGAACAAAGAAGCCTCACTGTGTTCAAAGGGAGATGAAGAACGATCCACATCTCACTCTACAGGAGCTGAAGTGAACACTTTAAGTTAAAGACTCGGGCAGGAAGAACATGTCGAGGTCTGAAGCATTAGATGCATAGATGAAAACAAAGGCCTCTTTTGAGCATGTAGCAGGTTTATATTCTTTATTTTTAAAATACCTTCTGGATAGGAACTGTAATCTTCTTACATGTCTGCTCTCCGTGGTTATTACTCAGGTTTAACTGCAGGGAAACAAACAGATGTGCAACAATAAAAAGGGTCATTGGTCATGCGACCACCGTGTCCTTAAAACCGGAGAAGATGAAGTATGACTCCTATTAAACGGCATCAGCGACTCTTATCGGCTCTCCTTTGGTGCTGCTCCCCGTCTGGGGTTTTCTTTCTTTGTGTTTGTTGTTTTTTTTAAACGCCAGAGCTTTTCCTCGGTCGCTCTCTGTCTGGAGTTCACAGTCGAGGTGATGCTCTGGCAGCATCCGAGGGAACGGGGGAATATAGGTCATACGGTGCACACAAGGTAACCGTCTGGGCTTTCATGCGCCTTCACGAGAACTAGAGCAGAGGAATGCTAAACCAGGACCGTAGAGTAGACGCACGAGCTCTTAAAATCCATTTTCACGTCTCCACTTTCATTTCCCTCCAGTAACTCCTCCAATCTCACCGCATTGTTTTTGTGGTATTTTTGGTTTGCTTTATATTACTGTTCAGCCATTCTACTATAGATTTAAACCCAAAGAACCTTTAAAACATCTAAATATGAGATGGGATAAATCTACAAGCTGCATTTGCTGTCGCTACAGGTCTCGGTTACACCCAAATAAGCATTTTTCCGTCATCGCAGGAGGATTTCCCGAGGTTGTAACGTCACTGCAGGTCTTATCTGTGTCGAGTACCGCCAGAAAAATAACAACCAGTGTGGCACTCTGGAGTTTTCCGTCCAAATAAGCCACCACTGAAAACAATGGTTAAAAAATGAGCGATTGCTGCACCCTTAGAGTAAATGTGGGGACCGGCCAGGGATGTTTCTGCCCTGTTGAAGTGCCTTTTGAGCAGAGGACCTGATCTCCAGGGATAAATGTACAAATAAGGGCTGCAAGCAGTGTTCATTTTCAGAATTCATTCATCTATTCATGTCTATTAATCCGTAAAATTTCATGAAATAGCGAATCGTAACGATCACATTTTCCCAGAGAAACCCAAAGATAATCAGCAACAAGAAAAGCAACAAATTCTCACTCATGAGAAGTTGGACTTGGTCAGTTTTGGGCTTTTTTTATTCGACCTAAACTATTAAATGACTCATTTTTTTTTTTTTTTTTTTTCTTTAACTAATCTACTAAACTCAGCTCACCCCTATGCAGACACATTATTACGCTTAAGAGAGCATTAAATAATCCAGCGTGAAAGCTTATTCTCACAGTATAGATACGTTGGTCACATGATGGGAACTGATCAAACTCCTCTCACTGAAGAAGACCATGGGATGCTTTTGAAAGCTCCTGAAAGGGGCTTCAAAAATGAAGTGTACCTTGAGTTGGGTTTTTCTTTTTGGTCAAGCAACATTAAATATAATTCTCTCTCTACCTGCATCTGAAAAACATGAGCTCGCCAGTTTTGTGGAGATGCAGATTGTTCTTTTGTACAGTGACAGACTCGCTCCGCCTCCCTACACTCTTATTTTGAGCTTGATTCATTTGCCGAAAAAGAGACAAAACGCACATTAAACAAAGTCAATGCTGAAGTTATTTGATATCGTCATCTTGTATTCTGTTGGCCGCTATAATCGTGTATTTAAGATCTGACATCGTGACGGCTCTAATCTGACTTCTACTGACGATGAGATGTCTGCCGTTCAGAACGGATTACATTTGAGAAAAAGAAAAACTAATCTCTACACAATCGATCTGACATCATGAAAGTATAACAGGAGAAGAGGTGTTTCAAAAGTAGTAAATGTGACATAAAAGCTGTTATTTTTGGGTCTCTTTTTCCTCAGGCCCACTACTCTACGGGCAGAGTTTCCGCCTCCTTCACATCCACGGCCATGACTCCTGCAACAACACAAGAAGCAGGCAAGTGAACATCTCGCCCTCCTTCAAAATAAAAACATCCACATTCCCAGCAGACGGAAACATTCACCTCTTCTTTCTTTAGCTGCTTTAATCGTTATCGGTCGGGGGGGGAATAGACCGGCTACAGTCACGCCTGCTCTGTAGCAGCAAAGCGCAGCTTCGTGATCACACACGCAGCCGAATGTAGCCTCAAACTGGGAGATGCTCAGTTCGACTGGTTTGTCTTCTCCCGTCAGCCTCTGAGATCTGCTCTTATGAGATCTGCTCTTATGAGATCTGCTCTTATGCAACTGTGTGGTAGGTTCAGTAAAGTTCACAAGAGGAGGGCCATGTTTGGATTTAGTGACCCAGTTCAGGTTCCAGAAACAGGGCGACATGCCTTGTATTTTTATGGACGTGTGCCTAGTATAAGAATACAGAACCGTGTTGTCTTTATATTGTGTTTGTATGTATGTATGTATGCAGGAAAGGATTTATATTATTTTAATTGTCGGATACTGTTTCTTTCTCTAACGTGAGTTCATGTTTTGTCAGCTTGAGTCTTGTATGAAGGCTGAACTGTAAATAAAAACAAAGCTAAGATGCTTAACAGGAGAATAAAACGTGCATAAATCTAAGTAACAACCAGCTCTGCTGAGGATTTTAAAGGTCAGAGATCTTCCAGCTGAGACCTGTAAACAATCAAAGTCTTACGGTTGTTCTTCAAGATAACACCCCTCTCTCTCTCTCATAATCCCTAATGTTTTCATCTCTGAAGAATTAAAAAGGCTGAATTTGTTTTGTTTTTTTATGTCATAGATGTCATCGCGGACGACACGGTGCGTTACCGCTATGTGAAGAAGAAGGGCTACGTCCGTCTGCACACAAACAAGGGAGACCTGAACCTGGAGCTGCACTGTGATAAGGTAATGACACACACCCACGCACACACACACACACACACACACACATAAAATCACAGACCAGACAATTGGAAGAAATAATGTGTTTTGTAGTATCGGGGGGGAAATGCCTCCAGAGCCTTATTTTCTGCGTCTCCCCAAAGATAGATTACAAAGTAGACACTTATTCCCAAATTGCCCCGACAGGCTGTTCCTGCATGTATGAATGCCTGATGGGCAGGTGGCACCTTGCATGGTAGCTACTGTCATCAGTGTGTGAATGGGTGAATGATGACATGTGGTGTTAAAGGGCTTTGAGTGGTCTGCAGTCTAGAAACTGTTGGTTTTCTTGAAATTAAGGTGTGTTTTCACGACCTGAAGATGGAACAATAGTAGGCTGTGAACGGCAGTGCTTTAACATGTCAAAATAGCAAATCATATTTAAATCATAGTTAAATCACTGCTGCTGTGTGGTTGTGGGTTGTCTTGTGCTGTTGAGCGACCAAACTCTTGCTGCTTTGGGGACACTGTTAGCTATGCAGGTAGGGGTCCGTGGTCATGATGGTCTGTCCATGCGTCGCCCCAACTCGAGAAAAGAGAGAAAAATGAATCACAGACCTTGTTACGGCGCTGACCGAGCCCTCGGGTTTGTTTGTTTTTTCAAATGTTCACATGATTCAAAGATAAACAAGTAAAAAGGGACCCTGCAGTTTATTTAAAATCATAGGTCGGGTCTATTTATAGTGTTGGAAGGATGTTGAAAAGATAAAAAGTAGTTTTTCTTCAAGCCGTTAGAAGCTGATATCATTTACTGACACATATGTAAGTAGATGTTTGAGTTTAGCAAAGCTGGCCACTAAAATAGACAGTTTTATAAATGACGCCTGGTGTTTTTGACACTGAGGCTCTGATTCAGACTTAATGCTGATTTCATTTAAAGGTGTAAGTTTCTAAAATAATGTTGTTTTGGCCCGAGCAGGCGGTTAAATCGTGTTTAGGGCGACACACTCAAAACAGTGAAATCAGCCTCTTGCAGAGTCTCTCCCCTCAGGTTGCCAAGTTTACTTCTTGGCAAAAATGTGTGCCTCCTTTTTTTTTTTTTTTTTTTTTTTTTTTTTTTTTTTAAAAGTCCAGGTGTGAGTTCCAGGAATGCTTTTCTGCCCCGGTAACCTGGCGCTTCTTCATGCAACTTGGGTTTTCATTGGCTTCTGCATTGTCGAATCAGGATAATGAGGGGGAAAGTTGCAGCAGTTAGACAACCTGCCCTCTGTGCCCCCCCTCCTCCTCCTCCTCCTCCTCTTCCCCAGTGGTTTCCTCACAAGATTGCAGCTCTATTCGTGGCCTGTTGTTTATGAATTAATGAGTGCCGCTTCACTGTCGCATACACTCTCAGTCACACACATCCAGAGCCCACCGTCCCGTAGAGTGCCCGTTGTTGGAGATCGGATGACGCGGCGGGTACCTTACTCACGGTACAAAGGCTTCACCTGAGTGGGCTAGAATACGATGACTGTGTCTAAATTTACATCTTTAGTCAATTCTAAATCTAACCAAAGATATTCCAATTATTTTCTTTGAGTGTGAGGTTAAAATTTGTCTGTTTTTACATATGATTAAAAAATTTTGATTGACCTGCAGGGAGAGGGGAGAAAGACCGAAAGAGCTACCTAAATAATATGAAAGCTCATTCACACTGTTAAAAAATATATATGTTATAACACAGGATAGGTATTCCCTTGCACAGTATTCTTTAGATGGTCTCATGTTAAATTTGGGTGAAAAGGAACTACACAGTCTGTTAGGACGTTCGTTAAATGCACACAATCCTGCCAGAAACGTACATTTAGAATATCCTTTTTGAGTTGATTGCCTGGGAAATACAGGAGGCAAGTTTTGCCCTAGCAAACATCCCTGATTGCTGACAATTTTAGGCACCTGGGCATGTTTTCTGAATACGATTGCATTTTAAACATTCTCACTCACACACACAGAAACCGAAAAAGCATGCAGACGCGCTACATTAACCACCACTACAGGGCTGCAGCAGATAGAGATCTCTGACGGGAAAGGTTCTGCTCAAAAGTCTAAAAGGATTCAGAGGAAAGTAGCACACGAAGCTTGTATATTTTGACATGCATGCATTTCATTCACACATGTACACGTAATGTGACGTGCCGTTAGATAACTGTTTTTACAAAAATCGATTTCAACGTCTCAAACTGTTAAAGTCGATCCATTTCTTCCGTCTAGTGGTTTAAAACAATAAGCCTCTTTGTACCAGAGTGCTTTGAAGATCTGGGATTTATAACAGAAAAAAAGAGGCAGAGCATTGAACCCCAACAGCAAAATTGAGACGTGGCACGAATTAAGACCAGTAGAGCTCGAAGGAAGCCGTCACACGGCAGCGAAAGGCCCGAGACTAAAAATAGGCTTTTTACGAAGGCAGCTGGTGATTCAAGGAAACCATCAGCCATTGTTGCCGACAGGGGAAAAGTTAGTTTCTCACGCAGACACACACAGAAGTGTTCCTCGTGGTTATTGACGCTGGCTGGCGTCAATGGAGAAGCCACGCCTCCCGCTTTGGGGACAAATACCGGCTGGTTTCACACGGTGCCAGCCGGTCAAAATGAGCTTCTGTCAGTGTGTTTCTGTAATGATTTACAACATAAACCTAAAAGTTGTATTTCTTTTTTTATGACCCATGATGTACCTTCACCTAGAAGTCTGTTTTTTTTATTACACCAACTAAACAGCCTGCTAAGCCTGGCTTCTAGCTTTTTGGGAAGAGCTCTTAAAGAGACAGGCGCTAAAACGGAGAGTTTCAGACGGAGGTTTAATACAACTATATTCAGACAGACGGTGTGAGGAAAATAATGTGTTTTTTGAACATTAAACCCTGTAAACCTGTCCTAGTAGAAACTCACAATACAAGTATGAACCATGAGTAAGCACGATATGTCCCCTTTAAAGCAGTCGGATAAACCAACCATGTTAAATATAGCAATACACCTCAACTTCTCTGCATCCTGTTGGCTTGTTATGACGTTATTTAATGCATCACTCGAGATAAAATGTGTTAAAACTGCGGTAGAAATGTATTTCCTTCGTTGAATAAGCACTGAACAAAGAGTTGTTTGGGTTTTTGACATGTTACGAACATGAAAACACCCGTTTGTTGTGATTAGGATCTTATCCGATATGTACGGGGACTACTAGATGACATCAGGCTGTTTTTAAAAATGAAGTGTTTGACATTCAGCATCCAGTTTATCTAAATGTTACACGGTTGAGTGTGTTGCTGGGTTTTTATCAAAGACTGTGTTCTCAATGCTACTTAACTAACTTCATACCTCAGCACTGATTTCAGTGAGCGTATAGAGCAGCAGATATTATTTCATTGTTTTATTTCGTTGTTGGTGCTTTTTCCTGAACAATCTCTGCATGTTCTTTTCCTCCAGGTTCCCAAAGCTGGAGAGAACTTCACCCGTCTGTGTAAGAAAGGCTACTACGACGGGACAGTCTTCCACAGGTCCATCAGGAATTTCATGGTAAGGATTTTGACCAGATAAATAAAATACGATAAATAAAAAGCTCTTATCCTGACTAAAGCCACCAGTTTAATGACCAAAAAACAAAGTGCAGTCTTTGGCTTTGATTGTTGGTTTGGACGGATTAGAATGATACGTTTTAACCTCTAATTTAGATGTTATAACCGGTCCTCTGCAGATAGATAAGATTTAATATTAATAATTGGTTAGACAACAAGGTGGGCGCTCACTGCTTCACAAAATAATAATATATTTTAGTGTTTGCTGCTTCAGAGATGGAGACAAATGCATGTTTTTCTTCAGACTGAATCTTATTAACCCAGACTGAGAATTTGAAATACGAGTCTCTGATCAGCCGCTCGTCTTTGTTTTTCCAGAGCAGCCTCTTCTATAATTAAAGTGGCTCTGAGTGGACATCTGGTCTCAAGGGGACCCTTACCTTCCTTTTCTTTTTTAATATTCTGTCCCGTGGTTTTCAGACACACAGTGGCAAGCTGTGAATTGTTTATCCATAATTACTCTGCCACTTGCGCCTTCGGCTTCTCTTCCAAAGCTGAGGACAGGAGGAGGGTGGCCTTGGAGAGAATCATTTCATAACAAAAACACTTTTTATTGCGGTTTGTTAAAGGGAGCCGTATCCCTCGCTTGTACAGAACACCCTCGGATAATACTTTTTAAAAACATTTGACAAAAAGAGAGAGGCTCATCAAAGTTCCTCTGCCTCGGGCTCAAACACGGAGAAGAATTGTTCAACACCGACATGATGCAACCGTTTCACACGGCTGCCTAGGTACCACATTATTGTGCAATCTTGCAGTTTTTCTTTTAAACTTGCTGTCTCCATTCAGCCGGGGAACATGAAGGCATTCATCAGCTTTGATTCGTGTTTGCTGAAACAAACAAAAACAAAAACATAATCAGCGAAAGCACATTTTTGCCGTTGATGTAGTTCGACATGGAAGTGAAAGAACTAGACCGCCATTCAAAGTATGTGAAGCTAAACCTGTATACACAGACGAAGAAGTGCTGAGACCTTACGATTTGGAGAGTTTTTGTAATGATCGGTTAGTTTACATTCAAAGTTTCTCATCAAAACATGTTTATGTGCATGTGACCTTAAGGTGTGATAAACATTTTGAATTAATTTCTTTACAAAACCTTTTTATAGATGTTTTTGAGACGTTGGTTACGTTCCATGTTTACATTGATTTTGCATTCTTCTCTGTGATTGAGGCCTTATTATAGACTCAGGTTTACTTAAATATAATGTAACAAACTACACTAAACTTCAACGAATAATTCAGACTAGCTGTTGTGGCTGTTTGTGCTACGAGGATGGAAATTAAGACTTAAAGCAACCACAAGGAACTTTCATTTAGTGTTGATTTTGGCGCCCCCTTTGGACAAAAGCTGTGGTGTTTCAGAGCCAGTTTCAGTGTCGTAAAGACCTTTATCTGGCGTTTGTTTGGGAAGCAAGTGAAAGAAAGTCTCAAACATTGTGAATACTATTTTCATTTTTTTAAACAAAGCTGTATCTAATTGTGGCTATAAGATTAGTAACTCCATGGTGAAACAAAGAGTTTATTATATAAATGTATTTTTTAGTTGTTCTTCTTTTTGTTTCATCCATTTGTTGTTGTTGCCGCTGCTCTGTCACTCTGCCGTCTGCAGTCGTGTTGCAGCATGTCGTCAGCCAAACGATTTCAAACCATAATGTGAAAGAAAACGAAATACATTTTTCTTTTTCTGTTCTTTGTGTCGTTAAACCTCTGCTCCGCAGCAGCAGCTGCGGTGGTCAAAACCCCCTTTTTAAACATGAAGTCCAGAGAGCAGCACTCCACCATATAAACAGTAATAGGAAAAGTTGAGCCTTAGTCACTGACAACAGGCCTCTATTGTTCACTGTTACCAGTGCTTCCAAGGACTATGCTTCCAAGTTGGATGCGTGACGTCAGGGAATACTGTACGGTTTATAAGAGTCTCACATGTGGACTTGAAACATTTTCCTATTATAAGTAATGGGAGCAACTCTTCTTTTCTTTTTTTATGTGCAGCAGCATATGTCAACCAAACCTAACAGAGTCTTTCTGTTTCCAGATTCAAGGAGGGGACCCCACTGGCACCGGCACAGGTAAAACTAACACTGCACTTAAAGCACCTTTTGAATTGCATAACACCGTCTCTGTTGAATTATTAACAGTTCCTTTTTGGAAGCTTTGCGTAAATGCCGCTTGCAACCCAAGATGCAAGTCAGAGAGTGTTGCTAAATATAGTCTGTGAAGGCACATGGGAGCACAGACCACACACACACACACACACACACAGAGATGATGTCGATGGAAGAAGGCTGAGTGTGTGGTACCGAATAAGGGTGTGGTGAACGACCAATCGACCAGCATTCGGTGTAGTTTTTAAGAGGCAGCTCACTGGAATTGACTGCGAGGGCCTCATGCGGTTCATTTCCTGCCTCCGTGTCATCCGAGCTGCTCTGAGAGTTCGCAGCACAGAGCGAGCCTTGTGTTCTGTGGGCGTCTCTGAACGCTGCGCAAGAAAATGCGTCCACCGTGACTGATTTATGAAGGTGCAGAATTTCAGGCCTGTGGGCAAAAATTCTCCTCCTCACCTGGACTGAACAACACGTGGACACAACTCATGAACAGGCCTCTAACTGGCTTTTAAAGAGCTTTTAAAGAGTCCTGTAACATGCTGTAGTCGTGTAGTTACTCACATGTTATTTTGTGTATTAATAAGAACAATGGGGCTCACCAATGTTTTCCTATTTGGGAATTGTTTTTTTGGGTAAAAACAGAACCATAAACACTCCAGAGCACATTTAACGTCTTTACACGACAAACTTTATTACTGCTTTCAACCTTGACAAAGGAAACGCAGACCAGATCCACTTCTTCTGTTCTTACCTTTCACAATAAAAGCCCTGGACATATACGTAACATCAACAACATATCATTTATAATATTTATTAGTAATTTTGATTATTTTACAAAGCATTATGGTCTTCTAAAATTAAATTTAACAGATCTTTTTTGTGTTATTTTACTATTAAGCAGCGTAAAATCAGTTCCTCCAAAAAGGTTTGAATTGATTTTCACAGACAAAAAGTGAGAAGTGTTTAAACGCATTAAAGGTGCCATGTGGAGGTTTTCTTGTAGAAATACCTCCACTTCAGAACTATTGACGTTTCTTTACGTTTGTAGTCTGGTGCTCCACCTCCTTTACACTTTCATTTGGGCATTCTTGACTTAATTATCTCCACTACATACTACTTTCCTTTTTAACGTATGTGTGAGTGCACACGGCCCTGCAGTTGGATGCCCTTTTATGGGGATTGGCGGGGCGATTATCTGCTAATAGGATCAACTGACGCGCGCTTTCACTTTAGTAGGACGATGGGATTAATCGTTGTCAAAACACGGATACGAACGAGTCGGCGGTTCAAGAACACGCCGTGAGTCTGACGAAGACTTTTCTCAGGAACAAATTCAAGAAAATGATATTTGTGAATTATAGCAGCTGCTGTGAAGCTTTGGACTCATTTTGTTGTTTTCATTCTGTGTGTTTGAAATATCATTTTCTTCACTTGAGCAGACCAAAGCAGGGGTGACAAATATCATCTTTTCTTTGATATTCTGGTCTTTGAAGAGGTAATTTGTCTGCTCACTTATAGTGATGAATACAAGATGCAGGAACACTGGAGAAGGAAAAAAAAAAAGAGCATTTTATTCGCAGGCAATCAATGATTCGAGTGTTTTTTAGCGGGGAATAAGAGATGGCAAAATAAGACATTGAATCATGATGTGATGCTTGAATTTCTGAGATTTATGTGTCAAGAAAATCGCCCGCACAGAGTTGAGTGAATCCCGCTCACACATCCGGCAGACTGCTCACTGTAGCGTTGACTCTTCCCTCTGAGTTCAGCGGAGCCTCATTTAATCCAAAACGCTTCGGAGAGAAGAGACATGTTTTAAACATCGACTTGTAAACGAAATCCCAGAGACGCATTCAAAATATGAAACGAGAAGCTCGCGTGAAACGCACAGAATGCGTTGATTAGCAGGGATGCTTTGCAGACGTCGGTCAGTGGAGGATATTTTAATATTCTTTCCTGTCCCAAGTTTGAGGTTTACCGTTAAATTTATCGGAGTGAATGCATCTTGATTTATTGGTCAACTCTTTGGCGAGAATTAATTTCCCTTCGTCATCCTCCTCTCTCGCTATGCCTTCATTTATGATCCGACCGGTCTCTAAAAATGTCAGCGAGTTGATAAATTATGCAGAAATGTCACCACGGGAACGTTGACGGCTGCACAAAGCCACTGAAGGGTTGATTGGTTGCTAGTATGCTTTCGTAAACACACAGCACATACTGTACTTTTATATGCGTGCACACACACACACACTTCCACGCTGCGTACACCAGCTGGCAGGACGGGGAACCACACCTCGGGGCGACAAATCCTCTCTCCCCCTGTTGGGAGCCAATAAGCTCCTGCAGTGCGTATTCCTGTCCGCTCATCATGGTGATTCTTAATGATGGAGTCGCTCTGAATTAATGATTCACAGCTGAGGGCTCTCTGCAGGGCTCCGTGTTCAAGGACAAACAGGTCTTGAGAAAAGAGTCTTAGTTCTGTTTCTCTATTTTGATTTAGTAGTGCCGGTGGATCCAGAAATGTGTCGCTTTTAGACAAACTCAATGTATTTTAATGGGTTTAATCGTATGTTACAGTATAAAGATGTAATGACGGGCATTGGAGCAGAAAATTAAAAGCTACATGAACTCAATCTTATCGGTTTTACTCCCCAAAGTGTACTTTTATTTATTTATTTTTGTACATGCATTTAATCCCAGAAGGAGCATTTTAAATGACGGATTAACACTGTGAACTGTCGGCCAACGTCTGCTCCGAGGTGCTGAGACAATGATTTTCCTTTTAAAGGAAAAGTGCCCGTTACCTAAAATCACTTCCTCCAAAGGTGTTTGAATTGATTTTCATGGACAACAAGTGAGAAGTGTTTGCCCAACCGAAAGGTAAAGTTTTCCTTCTCCTTAACGAGGATGTTTTTGTTCGTGCCTTAAAGGTGCCATGTGGACTTTCATTTAAACAAACTCAGTGTTTCCCACCAAAACGCACCCTTGAGGCCGCGTTAAACATGTTGCGTTCCTTGCTAAACATTTGCAAAGCTGCGTTTTTTTGAATGGATTTGTTTACATCGGCTAGCATGTTCTGTCCCGTGTTATGCTTCGTCTTATCGGCGTGTTGGGGCCCGAGTCCACGCGGCAGCTTTCTCTGCCAGAAAAGGGGAAATGTTTTCATCTAAAAAGCTCCAAGTGCTTTTTGTAAATATCTTAACATCACCACACCGTTGTACGATAGACTAGCATCGCATTTGCCCCTTTTGCTCTTTATTATCTCTATGGGCTACTATCTGTTTGTTTGACATTGTTTTGTCACCAAACAGAGGATACCTGACTGTAACGTTACAGCAAGGAGGACGATCTGTCGGAGACGAGGCGTACGCCGATTTTATAAAAAAAAAAGCAAGCACAACACTCACCAGCAGTATCCACCCAGCTGTAAAAACAAGCTCCTCCTCCATTTTCTACAGTGACATCACCGGTGCTTTTCTTAAGAATTTCATAGATTTTCGTCTTGAAGCGTTGGCTGCAGCGTCTTGCACTTGACGATTGAATAAAGACGCCATGTGGACACAAGTTCTTAATCGTTGATCAGTGGAATAACGAGAAACACTCCCTTCATTTGATAGATGTGGACGATCTTTATTTAAAAAGTCTGATTTTATTTATCGTTACAGTCGATATATAGTCTTTGAATCAGAACCGTTTATTGCTAAGTACGTTGCACATACAAGCAATCTGACTTGGTGCATAACAAACAATGAACACAGTGCAATAATAAAGACATCATTTAAAAATAGAAACGTATTGAAATTTACAATAAAATATGGTACACAAACAAACGGATGACAGTACTTTAAAACAAGTATATGTTGGAGTCAGTGGGGGTCCTGGGCTTTGTTAATGAGTCCAGCTGAAGACGGGAATAAACTGTTCTTGAGGTCTTGGTCCTGATGGACCGCAGCCTCCTGCCAGATGGAAGAAACTCGAACAGTTTGTGTCCAGGGTGAGAGGGGTCGGCTACAATATTTCTCGCTCGCTTCAGGGTCCTTGAAGCGAACAAGTCATGGAGGGAATGCAGATTGCAGCCAATCACCCTCTCAGCAGTGCGAATGATGCGCTGCCAAGGACAAGGGCAGACTGCAGCGTACCAGACCGGAGCAGAGGATGGACTCAACGATGGCGGCGTAGAAGTGCACCATCATTATCTTTGGCAGGTGGAACTTCTCCAGCTGCCTCAGGAAGTACATCCTCTGCTGAGCCTTCTTTGGCACCTTGTCTGAAGTTAGTTGCCATTTTTCTTCACGATGTACGACTTGCACGCACTTCTGTGTTTGCTTCGCTGCCTCCCTGCAGTCAACAGGAACGTGTATTTTACATTTGCGCGTCGCTTATAGAAACTCATCTCGTCCTCAACTGCGAAAATTACACCACTCGTTTTTTTGCGCGTCTGATTGGAGGGAAGTCGAGTGCTTTCCAGCAAAGATGTTTCTCATATTTTAAAACGGTTTGTTGTGTCTATGTCTCTCCTTTTGTGTCTTTCTTTCCTTCCTCCCTCACTCACTGCCTCTCTTCCCAGGAGGGGAGTCCTTCTGGGGAAAGCCTTTCAAGGATGAGTTTAAGCCCAACCTGTCTCACACCGGCCGCGGGGTTCTCAGCATGGCAAACTCCGGTCCAAACACCAACAAGTCCCAGTTGTAAGAAATGTTTTCTGTTAAAAAAGCCTAAACTTTGAACTATCGTTCTGTTCTAGACAGTCAGTCAGCAGAGAATTATATCTAGTTTTTTTTACTCTCTTTCTTCCTTTTGATTTCTTTGCTGAGGCCCCACAGGTGAATAAGACAAGAACAAATGCAACACGTCTGTATGAAATGTAATATACTGGATGCAAAAACTCAACTGCAAAAATTTTTTATGTATGTTGCATTTACTTATTCAGTAGTCAACATAGTCATTCCTACACATTTCATGAGGAAAGTGTTGCAAATCAAATTAGTCTTTTTTTCTTTTTTTTTTTACTGTTTCCTTGAAACTATTTATATGATAAAACTGAAACTCACATTTTTTAAATTCGCTTTTAAAGCTAATTTTGTCCTTTTTATACACTTTAGTTTAAAGTTACTGTGAGGAACTTTTAACTGGTTCTGAAACGGTCTCAGTTTTATACTGATGCCTCTGTATGAGCTACATGAGTAAACAAGACCTTTAGCGAGATGATTGTCTATTTCTATAGAGCTATTCTAAGTACTAGTCCTTGGTGGCACCAGGAGAACCAGACGGTCAAACCATGGTGCAGTAAAATTAAAGAAAATTAAACACTACCGCTTTTGTCCACAGGGGCCGCCAAAACCAACGCAAAATGAAAGTTCCTCGTAGCTTCAGCATTTATGTGAAACAGTTTAATTATTGACGTGGTTGTCAACAAAACAGCTTCCTATAAATGTTTACTAAAGGACCTTGTGTTAGAAGAACCTGTAAATGTCTTGTTTTTGACGGTTATTCTGTGTATTTAGTCAAACTAAAGTGTTTGTGTAAAGTGTACTGTGAAGGCAAAGCTCCCTTTTTAGAGATCTTGTTTCTTCACAATACTTTTTACATATTCATTTATTGAACCGTAAGTTGTTTTTTTAACTGTTTTATACGAATGTAATGTCTCTGTTTCCGTTTTCTCTCAGCTTCATCACGTTCCGGTCGTGCATCTACCTCGACAGGAAGCACACAGTATTCGGAAGGTAAACTTTCTTTTTAAGTATGTTAATCTCTTTCCACTCCACTGTGGCTTAGCGACAGTGTTCTGTGTAATTTAGTGGTTGAGGCAGATGGTTTGGAAAGGTGACAATCTTGACAGACACTTTCCTCATGCTCAGTGCCATTTACACAAACCGTTGGGTCACCGCCACATGCTCTTTTGTAGTTGTTGTTTCCTCTTCTTAGTCTTCTCCTCACTCTCTCTCTGTCTCTCTCTCTCTCTCTCTGTCTCTCTGTCTCTCTCTGTCTCACCCTCTCATATTGTTCTTTAATACACATTTGGTTCTGTTGGAGCTCCAGACAGAGTAAACAGTTTTGTGACTTCCAGTTGGCCTCCAGGACGAGAGCTGTGAAACATTTAGTGGATGCTGAATCTCAACTGAAGACCCTGTCTCTCTCTCTCTCTCTGTTTCTCTCTCACTCTGTCTGTCTCTGTCTGTCTGTCCATCTGTCTCTCTCTCTCTCTCGCTCTGTCTGTCTCTCTTTTTTTGTCGCTGTCTGTCTCTCTCTCTGTGTCTGTCTCTCTTTTTTTTGTCTCTCTCTGTCTGTCTCTCTTTTTTTGTCTCTCTCTCTCTCTGTCTGTCTCTTTTTTTGTCTCTGTCTGTCTGTCTCTCTCTCTGTCTCTCTTTTTTTGTCTCTGTCTGTCTGTCTGTCTCTCTGTCTCTCTCTCTCTCTCTCTCTGTCTCACCCTCTCATATTGTTCTTTAATACACATTTGGTTCTGTTGGAGCTCCAGACAGAGTAAACAGTTTTGTGACTTCCAGTTGGCCTCCAGGACGAGAGCTGTGAAACATTTAGTGGATGCTGAATCTCAACTGAAGACCCTGTCTCTCTCTCTCTCTCTCTGTTTCTCTCTCACTCTATCTGTCTCTGTCTGTCTGTCCATCTGTCTCTCTCTCGCTCTGCCTGTCTCTCTTTTTTTGTCGCTGTCTGTCTGTCTGTCTCTCTCTCTGTGTCTGTCTCTCTTTTTTTGTCTCTCTCTCTCTCTCTCTGTCTCTCTTTTTTTGTCTCTCTGTCTCTCTGTCTGTCTCTCTTTTTTTGTCTCTGTCTGTCTCTCTGTGTCTGTCTCTCTTTTTTTGTCTCTGTCTGTCTCTCTTTTTTTGTCTCTGTCTGTCTCTCTCTCTCTGTCTGTCTCTCTTTTTTTGTTGCTGTCTGTCTGTCTCTCTCTCTCTGTGTCTGTCTCTCTTTTTTTGTTGCTGTCTGTCTGTCTCTCTCTCTCTGTCTGTCTCTCTTTTTTTGTCTCTGTCTGTCTCTCTTTGTCTCTCTCTTTTTTTGTCTCTGTCTGTCTCTCTCTCTCTGTCTGTCTCTCTTTTTTTGTCTCTGTCTGTCTCTCTTTTTTTGTCTCTCTCTCTCTGTCTGTCTCTCTGTGTCTGTCTCTCTTTTTTTGTCGCTGTCTCTCTTTTTTTGTCTCTGTCTGTCTCTCTCTCTCTGTCTGTC